CAGCACCCTCCTGCTTGCAGGATAAGATCCGATGTCATTAGTGGGTTTTACTCAGTGTCACTTCTCTTGGTTCTAGGTGTCAGCCAAAGGGGAGGGAGAGATTTGTTTTCTGAAGGGGTGATATGGGAATGCATCTCTCCCCCGCCAAAAAGGAGAGAAAACCTTGAAGAGGGAGTGTTTTGTATGGAGCCTGGCCTCTTCTGGGGGTGGAGGGTGGGGTCTCATCAGAGACCTCTCTGGAAGGGGCAGGAAGGAGCTGACTGGGGGGGTGGGCTGAGGGGAGAACTGGCATAGGGACAGCCTGGGGCTCCGTGGGGAGGAGCAATGTGGCTAGAGAAGGTGATAGACCACTCTGAGTCGATGATGAGGGTGAGGGGGGTGTACAAGGCAGAAGAGAGGCACAGAGGAACTTGAGACAGCTTACGGGGATGTGGAAAGGGAATGCTCAGCCAGAGATGTGGTGGCCTATGTGAAAATAACTCCAGCCAAGGTTGGGGGACCTGGATTCTTCCTATGTGACCAGGAGAAAGATGGTTGCGTTTCCCAGGCTTCAGGCTCCTGTCCATGTCTTCCTGATATTCAGTGGCTTCTTTATTTTGTGTCACTGAATGTTTTCTTAACCCCCTGAGAGCTTCACGTCGTATGCAGATCTAGTGCTATGCCCATTTTACAGGTGGGGAAACTGAGGGTGGATTCCGAAAGGTTGAATTACTTACCAACATTACCCTGCTGAAGTGTGTGGCCGGAACACCAGGACCCACATCTGGTCAATTCTGGCTCTGGTGCTCCTTCTGGGGCAGCTTGCCAACCTCCTCAACTAGCCAGAGCCGGCAGGGACAGAGAGGAGGACAGTGTGGTGGATAGAGCGCTTTCTGACCCGGTTCCTGGCTGGGTGACCTTGAACAAGCCACCTCCCTCAGGTTTTTCACCTGTAAAAAGGAATGACAATAGTATTAGCTGACATGGCCAATAGTTTGCTGAATTACACTGAAGAGTACATTAAATAATGTCTATTCTAATACCACAGTGCCTGGCTCAGAGTAAGTGCTCAATAAAGACTAGCCATTTCTGCAGTCATTTATAATTACCAATCACAAGCAAGTCTCTGGGAGTGTCAAACACACACCTCTGACCTGAGCTACATTTTCTGAGGAGATGAGGGGCAGCTGGAGTTGATGCCTGGGGCCTAGCCAGCTAGACTTTATGAAGGAGAGAGAAACCGAGCCAAGGGGAGGAGGTAGTGAGGATATGGCCTAGAGACTGGTTAGGGCCCCTGGGGTTCTTGTAAAACAACCTTGTTTGGGCCCCACCCTTTCCCACGAAACCCAGATCTCTGGCAGTGCCCCTGACACACAGGTTTTTGACTTTTTCCCTTCCCTTCCCTTCCCTTCCTTTCCCCTTCCCTCCCTCCCTTCCTTCCTTCCTTCCTCCCTCTTATAGACAGAAAGAGAAAGTGTGAGTGAGGGGAGGGGCAGAGGAAGAGGAAGAGAGAGAATCTTAAGCAGGCTCCATGCCTATCGAGGAGCCCGATGCAGGGCTCAATTTCACCGCCCCTTGACTTTTCTTTATTTTTTTATTCTTTCTTTCTTTCTTTATTTAAATATTTTATTTATTTATTTGACAGAGAGTGAGAGAGCACAAGCAGGGGAAGCAGCAGGCAGAGGGAGAGGGAGAAGCAGGCTCCCCGCTGAACAGAGAGCCCGATGCAGGGTTCAGTCCCAGGACCCTGGGATCATGACCTGAGCTGAAGGCAACCGCTTAATGACTCAGCCACCCAGGCGCCCCATTGACTTTTTCTTTAATTGAGGTATAATTGGGCACGTGGGTGGCTCAGTCGGGTCAGTGTCTGCCTTGGGCTCAGGTCATGATCCCAGAGTCCTCGGATCGAGTCCCACGGTGGGCTCCCTGCTCAGCAGGGAGTCTGCTTCTCCCTCTCCCTCTGCCCCTCCTCCTGCTCCTTCTCTCTCTCTCTCTCACCTACTCTCTCTCTCAAATAAATAAAATCTTAAAAAATAATTGAGGTATAATTGATATACAATAACATGCACAAATCTTAAGTCCTCACTGAGGTTTGACAATCAAGATCCTGAACATTTCCATTACCTGGTGGTCATCTGAAGTCCATTCCTCTCCCTCTCCCATGGTCATTCTCTGACTTCTGTCACCATCAATTAGTTTGACATAATGTGAATTTGGGTTTTTTTGCATGTGTCTGGCTCAACTTACTGATTTTACTGACCTTAATGTTTCTGAAATTCTCCCATTCTTTTTGCCTGTATCAGCCTCCTTTTATTGCTGAGTGGTATTGATGGACATTTGGGTTGTTTTCAAGCTTTTTGGCTATTATGAATAAAACTGCTATGAACATTCACATACAAGTCTTTATGTTTTCATTGTGCTTGAATAAATAGCTAGGAGTGGAATCGGGTAAAATATCTGGAAGTGAAATTGCTGAGTCATCAGGTAGATGTGTGTTTAACTTTGGTAGTCGAGGGCTACCAAAAGGCTCTCGACTGTGCCATTTTAGACTCCCACCAGCTGCAACTCCAGCTGCTCTCCGTTGCCACCAGCATTTGACATTGTCAGTCTTTTAGGCGCCCAATTATACTTTAGGTTTAGGCTTTTTTTAAAAATTTTTTTTAAGTAGGCTCCACGCTGGGTGTGGAGCCCAATGCAGGGCTTTAACTCAGGACCTGAGAGCAAGACCTGAGCTGAAATCAAGAGTCAGATGCTTGGGCACCTGGGTGGCTCAGTTGGTTAAGCGACTGCCTTTGGCTCAGGTCATGATCCTGGAGTCCAGGGATCGAGTCCCACATCGGGCTCCCTGCTCAGCAGGGAGTCTGCTTCTCCCTCTGACCCTACCCCCTCTTGTGTTCTCTCTCTCATTCTCTCTCTCTCGCTCTCAAAAAAAAAAAAAAAAAAAAGTCAGATGCTTAACTGACTGAGCCACCCAGGCACTAGGTTTAGCCTTCCTAATGGATGTTAAATGGTACCTCCTCCTCCTTTTTTTTTTTAGAAGTTTGCCTTTCTTAAAATTTGTAATTTTTTGTTGTAGTTGACGTACAATATTCTATCAGTTTCAGGTGTATACCATAGTGAATCAATCATTATGGCTTTAATTTGTATTTCCCTGAGGACTAATTATGTTGAACACTTTTCATGTGTTTAGTGACTATTTGTGTATATGTTTTGGTGAATTTTTACTTTATTATTTTTGTTTTGTTTCGGGTTCATTTAAAAACAATTTGCCTTTTTACTGCTGATTTGTAAGAGGTCTTTATATTGCAGGATAAATTCTTCCTAAGGTATTTTTTATTTTATTTAAATTCAATTAATTAACATGTCATGTATTATTAGTTTCAGAGGTAGAGTTTAGTGATTCATCAGTTGCTTCCTTAGATGTTTTTTTTCCAAAAAACGTTTGCCTACCTCAAGGTCATGAAGGTATCTCCGGTGTTTCCTTCTAGAATATTTCTGGTTCTGAATTTTATGTTTAGGTCTGTGATCCAACCTGACTTAATTTTTGTGTATAAACTGAGGTAGAGTTTGAGTTTCCTTTTTTTTTTCTTCTCAATACAGCATACAGCTGTTCCAGCACCATCTGTTTGAAAAAATTATTTCCTCCATTGAATTGAATTGGTGTTTTGGTCAAAACTCGGTTGACTGTATACATGTGAGTTTTGTCTGTCCTTACATAAGCACTACATTGTTTTGCTAACTGTGGCTTCCCTATAAGTTTGGAGTCAGATAAAGTACTCCAACTTTGCTCTTTTCCAAAATTGTCTGAGGGGTGCCTGGCTGGCTCAGAAGAGTGTGTGACTCTTGAGTTCAGGGTTCTGAGTTCGAGTCCCATGTTGGGTGTAGAGATTACTTAAAAATAAATAAATAAACTTAAAAACAAAATTGTTTTGGCCACTCTACATTCTTTCCATTTCCACATGCGCCTTAGAATCAGCCTGTCCGTTTCTTCAGAATGTCTGCTGAAATGTTGGTACGGATTGTGCTGAACCTCAAGACCAATTTGGGAGACACCTTAACTATACAGAGTTTCTGACCCATGAACTCATGTAACTCTCCATTTGTTTTGGCCTTTGAGTTCTCTCAGCATGATTTTCAGGATAGAGCTCTTGCCTATCTTTCATTAAATTTATTCCTGGTATTTGATGTTTATGTTATTTAATATGGTTTTGTTTTGTGATTTCATTTTTCCATCTTTTTGTTGCTAATATGTAGAAATACAATTAACTTTTGTACATTGGTTTTGTATCCTACAACCTTGTTGAATGTATTAGTTCTAGGTTGTGTGTATTTTGTTTTGGTAGATTCTAGCCCTAAGGCACTGCCACTATGGACTTTCATGATGGAGATGGTAATAGGGCCTGTACTGAGAAGGAATGTGATGATTTATACTGGACAGTGTTTAACTTCTGGTGTTGGGCCCCACCCATCACTCATTAAAACTGAGTCTTTGATGGGAGGGGCCGTGTGCGGCATCTGTAGTTTTAAAGTTCCTGGGGAGATTCTAGAAGTGCAGTTAAGCACCCCTAATTGAGAAGGTGCCGGGTGGCAGCCGGGCCCAAAGGCCCGACCCACACAGCGCGGTCCGAGCGAGCGTGTGGGCGCAGAACGAGGCCACACCCTCTCCCGCTTCGGCAAAGGGCAGACGAGTTCCGGGTTCCCAACGCGGCCAGGGCGAGGGGGAGGAGAGCGCCCCACAGCCAGGCGCCTCCCGCCTCTCCCTTCTGATAAACAGGCCGTAATGAATGCCGTCACCGCAGGGGCTCACGGTCGCCTCCACTGCCCCCGCGGAACACCTTGTCTACACCCCCACGTCCCCCGTCCTCCGAGAGCGCCCTGGAGCCACCAGAGCTATTCCCCGCAGGCTTCTCCTTGATGAACCGACCTCACCGGTTTCGGGCGAGGAAACTGAGGCCCGCAGGGGCCAGGCACTCGCGCGAGGCCGTCCCCCAGTCCGCCCCTCCTCCCATCGCCCCTTCTAGGTACACGCAAATTAAAGAGGAGCTGGAGGAGCTGGACCGCATCACAGAGCAGACGCTCTACGATCTGTACAAATACAACTCCTCCAACACCCTGGCGGCCCACCCCCGCGGTCGCCGCGACCTCTGGGAGACCTGGCCGCACCCCCTGCAGCGCCTGGCGGTCCCGGCCCCGCCCTCCCGGGCCCGCGCAGCCCGCAGCACCGCCTCCATTGTGCGGGACAACAACCCCCAAGTGAACTGGAAGGACTGGAAGATCGGCTTCCAGCTGGTAAGGCCCCGCCCCCGGAGGCCCCGCCCCCGGAGGCCCCGCCCCGCCCCGGCGTCCCGGCCCCCGGGTTCCGCCGGCGCCCTGGACTGGGCTGCCTTTCCGGACCCGCCTCTGTTGCCTAGCGACGGGAGGCGGGACCTCGCCGGCCCGCTGGCGAAATACATTAATTGAATAACTATCTTCTCTGCCGGCTTGTGGGGTCTCCTCGCCCCGGCCTCCGTTGGGAGCGTTCCGGCGGCCGGAAGTCAAATCCGTTGTGGAAAAAGCACCTTTCTGAATCGTCAGGCCCCACTGGTGGGACTCAGTTGGGACCCATCAGTAGGGAACTGGGGCTCTGCGGGCCTAAGAGAGAATAAGGAGACAGGAAAAAGACTTAAAAAAAAGTGTTTTAATAAAAAATAAAATGGAGAATAAGCGGAAGTGGGAGAGTAACAGAGGAAAGAAGAGAGACCCCGTTTGGGGACAGTGGACCATACAGCCAGGAGACCTGGGTTCTCGTCCTGGCGCAGTTGCGAGGGCAAACCTCTTGATTCCTCGGTCTTCCCATCAGTAAAATGGGGAGACGAATGCTTGCTCCACCCTCTCGCGCAGACTGTATAAATGACCCACAAGGTGTGCACAGCTCCCGGTCTCCTTGGCCAACCACTCCCTTAAGCCCATGGTTTCCTGGTCCACTGTCCTCCGGGCTTCAGCTTCTGTCTGCCTTCTGTTCTTCCCCACTCCTGGCTCCCCACCCCTGTCTATCAGTCCTCGGGACCCCAGACCACTCATCCTTTGACCTCAGCCTGCCCTGCAGCCTGGACCCTGCTGCTGGCCCTCTGACACCCTGTGGTCTCTGTGTCTAGTGCAACCAGAACAAATCGGACTGCTTTTACCAGACTTACTCGTCAGGGGTGGATGCAGTGAGGGAGTGGTACCGCTTCCACTACATCAACATTGTCTCGTGCCTGGGGGACACTTCTCCGTCCCCGGGGGAGGACATGCTGGACAACTTCATCTTCGCCTGCCGCTTCAACCAGGCCCCCTGCAATCAGGCGTGAGTCCCTCCTGCCTGGCTCCCTGCTCCCCACAGGGTCTCCTTCCCCGAGGCCCATCTGAGGCTCATATGGGCAGCGCCCAGGAAATGCTCAGGTGCAGGGAGGAGAGGGAAGCGCCTCAGGTCCACACCTCTGTCCCGTGGATTATCCTGCAGGGCTTCTGCCGCTCTTGCTGCCTGCGGTGCTGGGTGTGAGTCAGACAGCTGAATATGGATGCCCTGGGAAGGCTGGAGTTGAGCCCTGGCTCTGAGACTCCAATGTCTGGAAGTATGCTTCTCCATCTTTCTAAGGCCTCTTCGTCACTAGCCCCAAACTTAAGAGTGCCTAGGAGGTCATCTTCTTGGAGAAGGTGGGCAGTAATGGTTTGGTGGAAATAGCACGGATTGAATGAGGGAGCGAACCTGGGTCCCTGCTGTGGCTCTGTAACTTCCCGGACAGGTGACTAGGCATTTCACATCACTCTGCAGAGCCCGTTTCTTTGTAAAATGGGGGGTGGGGGGTGGGCAATGAGATCCACTCAATGTTCATCCAACAAATACTGTTTACTATCTGGGCTGTGTGCCAGTCACTGTTTTAGGAATCTGGGATATACCGAATGGGAAAAATAATATAACCTTTGGCCTTTTGGCACTTTTTGTCAAGCGATGAGGATGTTGATTATACCCATCTCCAAGTTCATGAGATAAATGTGAGGGCATTTTGTAAACCGCAGGGAGAAATGGGTCTCATTGCTCTTGAACTCCAACAGGTGAATGTGGCTTGCCCTAGGCCGCCAGGCCAGCCCTAGCTAAGGATCCTTCCCACTCCCCTGCACTGCCCGCCAGGCATTCCCTCTGCCAGAACTTGTCATTATGTCCTTGCAAAGAGGTCATGGCAGGTGGCAGCCTCTGGCCTCTCCTACTCCCGCCTTCCCCTCCTCCTGCTGCTGCTTGATCTTCACGTTTTCAGGTGCCATCTCGCTGTCTCTGCCAGGCTGAGGAAGGGTGCTGAAGGGCCCTTCCTTCTCATGTCGCTGCAATGCACCTGCTTCTCATGTCACCTCCTTCTGCCCCCACGCTCACCTGGCACACACACTCTGGCCAGCGCAAGATTCTGTTCCTGTTTCTCGTCCTCATGTTTGTTTGAAGATAGGCGCTACCTGCTGGGAAGCTTACACCTGCCACCTAAATGTCACCTTCCCAATGGTCCTCTCACTGTGCCAGCCCCGTGCTTACCTCCCCATCAGCGGCAAGTCCAGAGTTCATCTCAGTCTTGACGGTTAGGTCACTTCCTTAGCTCAGAGCCTCATCATTTCTCACCCAGCTTATCATAATCCCCTCACCTCCCATTGTCTTTCTGACTCCAAATCCTCTTTATTCTGTAGCTCTTCCAGTTAGTCCTGCTTAAAATCCTCCACTGTCTCTCATGGCCTCCAGAATCGAATTGAAGCCCCTTATCATGGCTTTCTCCTTCTCTCCGTAATCTTTTCTTTAATGCCAGCTTGATCGAGATACAACACACCATAAAATTCATCCTTTAAATGTATACCATTCAGTGATTTTTAGTATAGTCACAGAATTGTGCAAGTGCAATCCAATTTAAGAACATTTTCCTCACCCTGAAAAGAAACCCTGCACCTACTAGCAGTCACTCTCCCCATTCCCTCCCCTCCTCCAGGCCCTGGAAAGCAGGAATCTACTTTCTGTCTCTATGGATTGCCTATCATGGGCATTTCATATGCATAGAATCATATTCTATGTGGCCTTTTGTCTCTGGCTTCTTTCACTCAGCACAATGTTTTCAAGGCCCGTCCATGTTGTAACAGCACTTCATTCTTTTTATTTATTTTTTTAAAGATTTTACTCATTTACTTTAGAGAGAGAGAGAGAGAGAGAGAGAGCATGAATGAGGGGTCGAGGGGGGGGGGAAGCAGAGGGGGAAGGAGATGCAGGCTCCCCACTGAGCAGGGAGCCTGTCACACGTCTCGATCCCAGGACCTTGAGATCATGACCTAAGGCAGCCGAAGGCAGACGCTTAACCGACTGAGCCACCCAGGCGCCCCCCCTACCTTTTTAAAAAAGATTTATTTATTGGGTTAAATAAATAAATTTATTTATTTATAATAAATAAATTTTTATATATTTATAAATATATATTTATAAATATAATAAATTATAAATATATATTTATAAATAAATAAAGGGGGAACTAAGGTTTAGACATGTGAGAAGCTAGGGAAACTGCTAAAGTCTTCATAATGCAACACAGTGACACAAGAGTGCTCACAAGGCCAGTGAGGTCAGGTGGCCTGGAGGGAAGAGACTGGGCTGGAAGGTAGAGGACCTGTTTTGAGTTCCAAGTTTGTCATCACTGTTTGTGTGACCTTGGGCAGCTCCTTGACCTCTCTGAGCCCTGGCTTCCTCTTCTGTGATGTGGGGGTGATGCTCTCCCAGGCTATTGGTTGGAGTGGCTTAGGGAGCGTGGGTAAAGCTCCCAGGGTGTGTTGGCACATAGTAGATGGTCAGGAAACAAAGGTCACTGGAAGTCCTGCTCTCTCTGGCCCCCTACACTTTCCTTTCTGATCCTACTTTCTCTCTCTCCTGGACAGGAATTACTCTCACTTTCACCACCCGATGTATGGGAACTGCTACACTTTCAATGGCAAGAACAACTCTAACCTCTGGATGTCTTCCATGCCCGGGATCAAAAATGGTGAGCCACTCCTCATTCCCACCATCCCTGACCTCTGCCTCAGGGCTTCCCATGGCCCTGCTCACCCGCCTTTACCCACCTCGTGCTCACGTCTTAAGAGATGCTGTGTGCCGCTGGGCCTCCCCACAGTGTGCCTATCTCTATCCTGGAAGGAGTCTTCTCTGTTCTTTGTCCCCCATGGGCACCACAGACTCGATTCCAGGTGTGATAGGAATCCTGTCCCAGTTCTGCCTGCCCACCCCCGAATCCAGCTCAGGGGTTGCCAAATCCCTACGTGAGTCTTCCTGGCCTTGCCCTCCCCTGGAGCATTAGAGACTGGGCAGGTGGGAGAGGGGGTTCCGTCCCCTACCACTTCTCCAAGACCTCCCCCACTCTGCTCCCTCTGCACCCCCAGGCCTGTCCCTGACGCTGCGCACAGAGCAGAATGACTTCATCCCGCTGCTGTCCACGGTGACTGGGGCCAGGGTAATGGTGCACGGGCAGGATGAGCCTGCCTTCATGGATGATGGCGGCTTTAACTTGCGGCCTGGCGTGGAGACCTCCATCAGCATGAGGAAGGCAAGGGCACTGCCTGGGAGGCCTGGGAGGAGAGCCGCAGGTTGGAGAGGGCAGGGGAGGTGACTCGACAGCCAGAAGACCGGAGAGGGAGTTCATGTGGGGTGGGTCTGAGGCGGGTGGAGGTCTTCAGGAGCAGAATCGGGAGCAAGGGGCTGGAGAAGTAGGGACCTGAGGAGGGACCATGGGTGGGAGTGCTGAGAAGGGTTCGGGACGTGCCTAGGGTTCCCAGGGCGCTGTGTCCTTGCAAGTAGCACTGGGATGGGCATTGGGGGCCCCTGGGGGCATGTTTTGAAATGGTGAGACAGACCAGAGAGGCTGGCAGGGTAGGAGATATAAACCCTCTGGACTGAGGGAAGACAGAGAATTCAGGAAGGGGCCTGGGCCACTTGCTCTGACCTCTGACCTCTGACTTCATTGTGCGTGTGGGTGCGCAGGAAGCCCTGGACAGACTTGGGGGCAACTATGGTGACTGTACCAAGAATGGCAGCGATGTCCCTGTGGAGAACCTTTATCTTTCCAAGTACACACAGCAGGTGAGACCAACCTGTTTCTATGGCAACCATCTCCCAGGCCTGCCCTGTTGGTCCGTCAAAAGTTGGAGGGGTGTATGTGTGTGTGAGTTACAGGTGGAAAGAGGGGTGCAGAGAATGGTTTGTCCTTCCCTTCTGGGGCTGTGTGGGGGGAGGGCAGGCCTGAACCCCCTTTCCCGCCACCCCCATCTCCTCCAGGTGTGTATCCGCTCCTGCTTCCAGGAGAACATGATCAAGGAGTGTGGCTGTGCCTACATCTTCTATCCACTGCCCAAGAATGCGGAGTTCTGTGACTACAGGAAGCATAATTCCTGGGGTGAGACCACAGGGAGCCCCTGGTCTGCCCCGGGGCCCCAGGGCTTTCTTGGAGCGGAAGCACGCGCTCCCCTCTGGGTCCCTCTGTGACGCTAATTCTCTCTCTCTCTCTCTCCTGTGTTCCAGCCCTTAGACTCACCTCTCAGTTTCTTCTCACTCTTTCTCTCTCCTCTATCCCTGTTCCTCCCTCCCAGCTTCTCTCTCTGCGTTTTGGCTTCTGTGTGTTTATAGAGAATCACCCCATTTAAAAATGACTCACAGCGTAAGGAAGGAAAAGCACGTGAGGAAAGTCTTCCTCGCTCGCTCCACACTCTGCCTGCTGAGGTTCTAGTGCACAATCTGCCTGTAGCTTCCCTGTCTCACTTGCCAGGTGCTGGGCAAGGCACAAGACCGCTCACTGGGTGCCGGAAGAAAATACTAGAAGTTACATGTATCTGTCCAATTCCCTAACATCTTCCATTCTATATATGTTTTATAATGTACCTAATGGATCAGTTCTGTAGTAGCAAGTATGGAATTTATAAATCAATACATACAGAGTTACTTATTTAAGATTTTTTAAAAAAGATTTATTTATTTGCGGGGGAGAGAGAGCACATGGGGGGGGGGAGGTGCAGAAGGAGCAGGAGAGAGGAACCCAAGCAGACTTTGCGCTGAGTGCAGAGCCTGACACGGGGCTCGATCTCCCAACTCTGAGATCACCACCTGAGCTGAAACCCAGTGTCAGAGGGGTGCCATCCAGGCACCCGAATTTAAGAATTTTTTACCTACAGGAGGGCATAATCAAAAAAGTTTGGAGAGCACTGAAATCTCCTTTTTATCCTGGTTTAGGAGTAGACAAATCCCTGTTCCTTTCTATAACTATAGCTGAGTTATGCTGCATGGAAGCTCTGTTCTAGGAACCTAAGAGGGAAAGAAAATCCCAAACAAGAAACTAGAAAATAGAGGACTGGCAATCCTGCCGCACCTGAATGGTCCTCCCGAGGTCCTCCTCCCCGGGCTCCCCTGGGCCCAGCTCTCCTCCTGCTGGTGGCCATTGCTGGAGGAGATGAGCCTCCACACATGTAAGAGGACGGGGCAGACCCCTCCCTTGGTTCTGTCCCTGTGGATCTTTCTGCCTCCTCCCTTCCCTGGGGGTGCTCCCCACGGATATCTCCCCTGCCCTGTACTTGGTAGTCCCAGCCTCCTGTTCTCATCTCTCCTGCCTTAGGTCAGAGTGCACCAGAGCTGGAGGGAAACTCCGGGGCCATCTGACGTCACCGGCTCCTTTCTCAGATGAGCAGGCTGAGGCCCAGGGGGAAGATGTGATGTGATGTCCCCCCTCCCATGTGCAGAGCAGGGACTCCCTGCCCACTGCTCCTCGCTGCCCCCAATGATTTCTAAATGGCTGTGAGCTTGAGGATCTGTGAGAGAAAAATAATAATGCTGATTGCTGAGAAGCCAGGAGGATGGGGGAGAGGAACTGGGGGACATGGTCTGCTGTTTCCTAAGGACTCCTGACTCCCCAGAGGAAAGGGCCCAGCTGCCCCCCACACTTTGCTGTTCCAGACCCCCCTAGTCCTTGCAGAACGAAGTGATTTGGGTCAGAAATGGAGGACTTCCAGAACGGGCAACAAAGTAGCAAGAATGACACAATAACCTTACTTAGAACTTGGCAAATAGGGGAGAAGGGGGATCCATAGACTCATCCCCCACCTTTTTAGGTAACAACTTTATTGAGATCATTTCTGTCCCAGGTAATTCACCCATTTAAAGTGCACAATTTGATTTTAGTATAGTTTTAGTTTTCAGTATAATCACGGAGCTGTGTGGCAGCCACAGTCAACTTTAGAACATTTCCACCACTCCCAAAAGAAACTTTTTACCCATTAGCACTCTCTGAGCTCCCCATGTCCTGCACCCGCAGCCCCCTGCCCCACCCCTGGGAACCACTAATCTACTTTCCGTCTCTACAGATTTGCCTATTCTGGACATTTCATGTGAGTGGAATCCTGTGCTATGTGGTCCTTTGTGACTGGCTTCTTGTATTTAGCATAGCATTTTCAAGGGTCATCCACCTTGTGGCATCTATTGGTACTTGGTTCCTTTTCAGGGCTGAATAATATTCCATTGTACAGCTCTGCCTCGTGTTTTTACCCGTTCATCAGTTGACGGACACTTGGGTTGTTTCTATTTCCTGTTTCTCTTTTGTGTGTGAACCTATGTTTCAGTTCTCTTGGGTATATACCTAGGAGTGGCATTTCTGGGTCATCGTAACTCTGTGTTCGACATTTTGAGGAACTGCCAGACTCTTTTCCAAAGCGGCCGCACCATTTCACGTTCCCAGCAGCAATGCAGGAAGGTTCTAGTTTCTTCACATCCTCCCCGATACTTATTTATTTATTTTTTTAATGGCCACCCCGGTGGGTGTAAAGTGGCATCTCATTGTGGTTTAAGCTCATATTTCTTACACAGTTGTTCCCGGTTTTCTTTTTGATTTTAGATTTTTGTCCATATCCTACTCATCTTTACATAGATGTGTCCTGGGTTGTTTTTTGGTTTGTTTGTTTGTTTTTAAATTTTCCTGACTTAGCCTAATTTCTTAAACACTTTCTCGTGCTACCACTCAGGAGGCATCCCTGTAACGCTACTTGTAATGTGGGTATGCTCCTATCTTGGGAGACCTCTTGGGTCTGGGGTGGAGAAGGTGGAAGTGCCCCAGGAAAATGGGCACCTCTCTGCACCCACAGGTTACTGTTACTATAAGCTTCAGGATGCCTTTTCCTCGGACCGCCTGGGCTGTTTCACCAAGTGCCGGAAGCCATGCAGGTGAGTGTCTCCGTCCCCTGGGGCACAGGTTGGGTCGCTGGCCACTTGGCTGGGGAGAGTCCAGGGTACTTGGCTAAGCCTTTGAGCGGGAGAACCTCACCTCAATCACTGAGTTCCTTTCTCCATCCCCAGTGTGACCAGCTACGAGCTCTCTGCCGTTTATTCACGATGGCCCTCAGTGACATCCCAGGTAAAGTGGGGAAGGGGAGAGGGATAGGGGATGTGTGTGTGTGTGTGTGTGTGTGTGTGTGTAACACTGTGGTCTTCTCTGGGTGTGTATATGGATGTGTTTGATGCCACATCCAACCCTATAAGCCTGAAGAGTATGGGGTGACCCCACTGACACCCCCATTCTTTTTCAGGACTGGATCTTCCAGATGCTATCCCGACAGAACAATTATACCATCAACAACAAAAGGTCAGTCCTACCCTGATCTGGCTGTGGAGAGGAGTCCCTGGGAGGGAAAACCAATCTAGGAAGAGGACGTGACTGGGGGAGGGTGTTTGTGAGGGTCTGAGAAGTTAATCCATTGCCATTTCTTCCTACCCTCTCCTCAACTCCAAAGAAATGGGGTTGCCAAACTCAACATCTTCTTCAAGGAGCTGAAATACAAAACCAATTCTGAGTCTCCCTCTGTCACGGTATGTCCTTATTGAGCCGGTGATTCTCTTGGAGGTCTTAGCGGATGGCTGTCAGGGAAAACAAGGGGGTGCCTCTGTGGGGCCACAGGGGTCTGGGCCTTGAAGGTAGGGGAAAAGGAAAGGATGGGAGGGCAAGGGTGAGGTTGAGAAGGTTGGAAAAAGGGGAGCTTGGCTGGGGGATGAAGTCTCTGGGCATGGTGAGAGGGAAGGGTGTGCCAGATGGGTATGACTGGGACAGAAGGAAGGGGTCCAGGGGACCACCAAGAGGCCGAAAGGGGTGGGTGAGGGCTTCGTGGAAGGAGGGATGGGGCTCTTCTTCCACCTCTGCCCTAGTGATCAGTGTGCCCTTTTCCCTTACAGATGGTCACCCTCCTGTCCAACCTGGGCAGCCAATGGAGCCTGTGGTTCGGCTCCTCGGTGCTGTCTGTGGTGGAGATGGCCGAGCTCATCTTTGACCTCCTGGTCATCACATTCCTCATGCTGCTGCGGAGGTTCCGAAGCCGATACTGGTCTCCGGGCCGAGGGGGCAGGGGTGCCCAGGAGGTGGCCTCCACTCCGGCTTCCTCCCTCCCCTCCCATTACTGCCCCCGCCCCACATCCCCCTCCCCACCCCCACCAGGCCCTGCCACTTCCCCAGCCTTGACAGCCCCTCCACCTGCCTATGCCACTCTGGGCCCCTGCCCTTCTCCGTCCAGCTTGGTGCGGACTGACTACTCTGCCTATACTCTGGAGGAGCCCTGAGAGGGAAAGAACATGTCCCCCCTCCACCCAAGGCAGGCGCTTCCCCTGGTGGGAGGGGACCAGGCTTGGCAGGATGAGAGAAAGTTTGGGGACTTCCTCTCAGAACTGCCCAACTGCCTTTGGTGTGGGGGAGGGAAGCAGGATGGACAAGGGGCTACAGAAATGGCCCAGTGAACAGGGGCCAAGGAACCTGCCTGGCATTGCCCTGTCTTCCGCCCTGTCCCCTCTGGTCCTGCCTCTAGAAGATGCTGATTTCCCAACCCGAGCGCAAACAAGTCCACTTTTCCCTTGGATCAGCCAGGCCAAACTTGGAGCTTCGACAAGGAACCTTCCTAGGAAACCACTGGTGACCGGAAACAAAAACAAGGGCACACAAAGGCATGCACACTTCCTACCCAGAGATGACTGAAGCCAACCCCGGGCCTGGCCACGCTGCTTTCCAGTGACACGTTTGCTCCTCTTCTTGAACTTGAGTGGGGAACCCCACCCAAAAGCCCCCTTTGTTAGTTCTTGGGCAATTCTCCTTCCCAGGGCAGGGGCTGGAGCAGACCGATGTAGTAAAGGCTTGGCCATGCCTAGTTGGCCCCAGGACTCTTCCAGCCTCATCTACCCTGCGCCCCAACAGAGCCATACCCCAATGCCTCTGCGTCCTTCATACCTTCGCATATTGGCCCGAGTTCTTTCCTCAGCCTGGAAGCCTGGAGAATTCCTGTGCATCCCTTAGAACCCTATTCTGGCACCACTACTGGGAAGAGTTCTGCTCCTTCTTGTCTTCCCCAGAATTGATCACTTCCCTCTCCCCTGGACTCCCATAGCACGGCATAACATCTGTTGGAGAGTTGATGTTGGCTTATGCTTTCTTGTTCCTTTGTGTCTGCCTCCCCAACTAGACCGAGCTCCTTGTGGTCAGGGACGGAATCTTGTTCATTTATGTATCCTCAGAGTCTAGCCCAGTGTCCCGCTTGGAGCAAGTAGGCAGGTGCTCAATAAATGTTTGCTGCATAAGGAATGTCTGGAGAGCTGTATGGGGGCACCATCAAGGGGGTAGGGAGTGGATGCAAGTCCCTGGGTCACTGCCCAAGCTCCTCAGAGGTCCCAGGGTGGGGTGAGGGGCCAGCCTTCCATAGCCCTTGGCTTCACTATGGAAGCAACCATTCTTCAGGGGCGTTGGCAGAGACAAACTGGACCGCCAGCTCTGCCATGGGCATTGCTGGACATCTGCTAGGTGGCCATCACCACGTTAGGTGGGAGGGCGAAGCCGTGATGCCGCTCCCCTCAGGACACCTACTGGGCAGTGCTTGGGGTGACTCACCCTCGTCCACGATTTGAACTTCCTTTCCCTCCCCAACTTTGCTTACCGTCATCAGTCATCCACCTCTCCAACTGCTAAGTGCAATTGGAGTGACTCTCCTCCCAGTTACAAGATAATGCCCTCACCTGCCCACCTCCCCATCAACTGCCCAGTAGTTCGTGGGGGCGGGGTGCGGGGGGAGGATGAGACTCAGGCCAGTTCCTTCTGGAACCTCAAAGCCTGGTATATTCTTATTCTCTCATCATTGCAGAGAGCAGTGGCAGGAATCCGCCTGCTTTTATTAGAGGAGAAACAGGGATGTGTGAGTGGAACCCCAGTTTTTGGAATGCCGGTTCCTTTCTCCACTCTAGCATCAGACCTGGATCCTGGAAGTTACTCTTCCTCACCATCTTCGAGGACACCTCCCTGCTGCCTTGGTCTTACCCCTCTCAATTACAATCTTCCCTGTCCTGAGGAGCCATGGGAACCTTGGGGAAAGGGGGGGGGGTGAAGGGAGCAGAGAGGTAGAAAAGGTTGTGACCAGGAACTGACGTGAGGACTTCTGACTTCCCTTTCCTAGACTCGAGCCGATGAGGGGAAAATGGTGGTGTCACAACAGTCTCCTCGGTCCGAGCCCTCAGGTTCAGCCTGTCCTTGTCTGCTCTCTGGGCCTTGCTTCTCCCAGTCCCCAGCCCCTCTCCGCTGGCTGCAGGACGAAGCTGGCTCTGTTGTGGACAAGCTCAATCAGCTCCTCCCCACCCCCCCACCCCTCAACAGCCCACACTGGAGTTTCTCCCGGCCCACTGCATTTCCACCCTGAGCTGTTTATGTCTTATCTATACATACCCTTGGACCCCAGGGTTAGGAGTCAGAATGGATGTCAGAGAAGAAAGGCTTTAGGTTGCCTTCTTTTCCTTATTGAGGAGGTTGGCAGGTGACGTGACTTGCCCAAGCTCCTAATTCTTACAGAACCAGCCAGATCTCCTGCTATGACCCATCCTGTCTCCCTGTGAGACATGGAGTCAGATGACAGGGCTGGGGCTAGAACTCAAGTCACCCAGACTTGGAGTCCAGTGTCCTTTCCATCACTCTGCTGCTGTGTGGGGTGTGTGTGTGTGTGTGTGTGTGTGTGTGTGTGTGTGTGTGAGACGTGGCAGAGGAGAGGGGGGTCTGTGCTCTTTCTTCTTCATCTGTTGCTCCACAAGCCCTAACAGCCAATTCTGTCATCCCCTAGTTCACCCCTCTCCTATTTCTCCATCTCTGCCATTCCCTCCCTCACCATTATTTCTTCTTCCCCTGGAGGGGTCATGGCCACATTCTCACCTCCTCCATGAGACTAGCCTTTCCTATTCCTACCAGCACCCACCTCTCACCATCTTTTTGAGACAGAATTTTATTGAACAATTTAATACCACATTTTTCAAAATTTAAAGTAAATACACATTTATCCTAAACAATGAAAGAAACTCTCTTTTTGTGTCAGGCTATGTATAATGGCTTTGACAGTTGGCACAGACTATTAAAAATTCCTTGTAACATTAAAAATAGGACATTAAAGTTGTTATTAATTGGGAATACCGTTCATTGTGCAACTCCTAACATTGCTACCACTTATTGAATGCTTAATATATGGTAAACACTTCTTTTTTCAGAAGCTGGAAAATGGGGTGAAGTCAGCCAGGGGTGGGGGGCATCTGAGCTCCATTTTCACCTACAGATGCCCCGCCCTTGGGATCAAAGAGGGGAGGCCAGGGAGAGCCAGGGAGGCTGGAGTCCAAGAGGTGGGGTCAGATGGTAGATTCAGGGGAGAAGGGGCCAGACGCTCTGATTCTAAGACACAGAGACCTCTCCGGTCTCCCTGCATTTCTAGCAACCTCAGCGGCTGGGGGACCTGAAAGTCATTGTGCCCAGAGGATATGTGGGTGAACGTTGTACCCTTGTTGTGGGACTCATCTGAGATATAGCCTGCACAAAGGGGGTGGCCTGAAATACCCAGAGTGTGGTGTTTGACTCAAGGGGACAGATAGAAAAGTGGTAATGTTGTCTATAATAGCAAAACAGGCCCTTGGACTGAAGTTGGGGCTCAGAGGTTTCAGCTGGCTGTGCAGAGAACATGCCTTGTGTGTCTCCAGGCCTCAGTTTTCTTATCTATACAACAGAGGGCTGTGGTAGATTATGTCTAAGGTCAATTTGGATTTATATATCAGAATATTTGGGAGAGGGGCACTGAGAATGTACTGGTAAAATGTGATCGAGATATCTATAATTTCCAAAGCATTTTCACAGGTATGATCTCATTTATCCTCATGACATCATTTTCCCCATGTAGGTGGGCCAGGCAATGTTACTCTCACTTAGTAAATGAGGCTCGGTGGAGGCTTTGCGTCAGGTCCCCGATTTTTTGTGGCAGAGCCAGGATCAGCAGCTGGGGCCCCCAGCCAGGTAGAGTGGATGAGCACCCGAGTCGGGGGAGGGTGTCAGGGCCCCAGGCAGGACAGAAAACTAGGGTGAGGGTTCACTCTGAGTCTGGGTTGGAGGGATAAATACCCAAGAAAGTGGGAGATCAGGATGTCAGTGGAGAGCTCCGGGGCAAGGGAAGAGCTACTAAGGAACACTGAGTACCTGTCATGGGTCAGACCCTCAACCTGTCCCGTCTCAGTAAAACCTTTACAGCTCCCCCCCCTCCCCCCGCCCTGAGCTAGTTCTCTCCCTGTAGCAAATTGGAAAACAGACTCACAGGGTGTAGGTTGTTGGTCCAGGACCAGCCAGCTAAAAAATAGAGCCTTCTGAACTGGAACCCAGTGAGTCTGACTCCAGAGCCCTGAGTCGGTTTATTACTGTTCACGTGGGAAAGGTCGGGTGACTGGGTGAGTGAGGAGGGAGGGGCTTATGCACCTCGGCGTTGGCTCGGGAGGGGTCGGATTGGTGGGTTGGGGGCCCGAGGCCGCCCGATCCGGGACTCGGGCGCCTCTGACTGAGCTCCAAAGGGTTACAGCCCTTCGCCCCCTCCTCCCGCCTCCTCCCTTCTCCGCCCCCAGGCTCTTCCTGTCCCGCAGTTGCAACACCCCATCTGCCTCTCTCCTTGCCCTCCCACCTCCTCGCTCCTCTCGGCTTTAATTTTCTCCCAGTTCTCGGGACTCGGGCTCCAGCTCTGGCCTTTGGGGTCGGAGGTCCCGGCCCGCGACCGAGCCGTGATCTTCACCCCGGTCTCCACCTCAGCTCCCCTGCCCACGGCCCCGGGCTCCTCTCGGGACCTGCCGGGCCCGCGCATCCCGGACTCCGCCGCCGCCGCCGCCGCCGCCACTGCCTGAGCCCTGATGGGGGAGTGAGAGGCCACAGCTGGCCGGACATGGGCCTCCCCACCGTGCCTGGCCTGCTGCTGCCACTGGTGAGCCCCGCGACCAGGGCCGAGAGGGCTGGGGGGAGGGGAGAGGGGCAGGGGAGCGGAGGGCGCCGCCCCGCAGGAGTGGGCCCTCGCCCCAGCCTCCCGGGGGGGCCTCGGGCCAGCGTGGCCCCACGTCAAACGCGGCCAGACGTTCGGGTTCCCCATTCGGCCGCCGGCCCTGAGTCGGAGGCCAGGGGGACAGGGAAAGAGAAGTCGAGGACAGCCAAGGAAGTTTGCTGGGGCCAGGAGGTGGCCGGGAATGTGGGGGCAGGTGATCCCGAGGGTGGGGCAGATTCGGGAGAGTAAGTGAAGGAGTGGAAGAAGGACATTCAGGCCTCGGAGTCCCGATGATTCAGAGTTCTGTCCTCTGGTGGGCTGGCCAGCCGGTGTGTGGGGGGCTGGGAGAGGGGAGGCTGCCGGTGGGCCCCGGCTGAGCAAACCCTGGCAGAGGGTAGGATTTGGATGCTAGTGAAGGGGGAAACTGAGTCCGGGAATGGACATGGGTTGGTGGGTAAGTTTGGGATGCTGTGTGTGTGTGTGCCTGTGTAGAGGGGGGTATTTGGGAGTAGAGTGGGAACTGGGTAGGGGCAGGGCAACCCCATGGAGAGCGTCCCCAGTGCTCTCCCCAGGGCCAGGACGCCCATCTGGAGGCATTCCTCACCCTCTGCCTCTGGCTCAGCTTCTAGATGGGTGGCTTCTGTTGGACAACCAGCACCACCTCCACCTGGTGCCTTGTCTCCGTCCCTGTGCCAGCCTTCCAGCCCCCTTCCCACAGGCCTAAACAACAATGTCTTGGTTTCTTCTTTTACAGCTGGGTTTGGGGAAGTTAGTAGAAAGTTGTTTTCGTCACTGGAAAATGTCCCTTTCTTGTGCCTCAGCCTCGTTTCAATGTATCCTTGATCTCCCTGCTTGTCCTGGAGTCACCCTCTGCCATACTCTGAGCCCCTGTCTCCCACCTACTGGGGTGGATTTTCCCGGCGTGCGCTGGCCAGTTTCTTCTAGGTCTCTGCCCTTTCCTGGCCTACATCCCCACTGTCCTCTCCTCTGGGTCTTATGCTGTCTCTCCTAAGCATTCCTTCCTTTTCTGTCAGTTTCCCCACGACGGTCTCCTTTTTTGAAACTTTTTCTCTAATAAATCATTGAACACTACATCAAAAACTAATGATGTACTATACGGTGGCTAACTGAACATAATTAAAAATAAATAAATAAATAACAAAGAAGAAAAGAAACTTTTTCTCTCTGGTTCCTCCCTCTCCCTCTCTTTTCTACTGGAGTCCACATTTCTAGACCCTGATTCCCCAGGCAGCACCTCTCTCCATCTGGGCCTCACTGTTCTTCTCACTGTCCCACCTCCTGTCTCCCCAGCCCCGTCTCTTGACTTCTTTCAAGACTGTCCTTCTCCCAGGCTCCCTCCGCCCCCCTCCAGCTGCCTGTTCTTACTTCTTTTCTCTCTTTAGGGGTAGATCGCTTAGATTCAAATCCTGGCTCCCTCACCAACTAGCTGCCTGAACCTGGGCAGGCTACAGAACCTTCCATGTCTTAGTTTCTTTATCTCTAAAACGTATGTAATAAACACTACCTCATAATGTCGTTTTGAAGATTAAATAGATTGATATACAGTTGACCCTTGAACAACATGGGTTTGAACCACGCAGGTCCACTTACGTGCAGACTTTTTCCATTAAATACAGTACTGTAAATGTATTTTCTTTTTATGATTTTGTTAATAACATTTTCATTTCTCTGTCCTATTTGATTGTAAGAATATGGTATATACTACACATAACATACAAAATGTGTGTTAATCAATTGTTTCTGCTATCGGTAGGGCTTCCAGTAACAGTAGGCTATGAGTCGTTACGTTTTGGGGGATTCAAAGTTATACATGGATTTTTCATTAAGTGGGGGGCTGGAGCTCCTAACCTCTGCGTTGTTCAAGGGTCAACTGTGGGTTAAGTATTCAACTTAGCAAGTGCTGGGTCTGTGCTAGACATTATTTTAAGTGCTGGGATGACATCAGTGAACAAAATCGCTGCCCCCATGGAGTCTACATTCTAGTAGAGAAATAAAGTATAGCAAATAGAAAGCACTTATAAATGTTAGGTTTGTCTTGTTAGTATTAGTAGTATTGGTAGTGATTGCTTGGTGGCTACTGTGTTTGGAAAACAGAGGGTATGGGTAGTCTGAACAGATAGAGGAAAGTGCCTGGGGGCTGGGGTGGAGCATCCAGCCCCTGTGGGAGTGTGACTGGGAAGGGACCCGAGCTCATCCTGGAGCTGGAAGGGAAACAGAAGGTTTTCGAGGTGTCTGAGCTTTTCAATTGCTCACCATTCAGTGGGCAATACTGAGCACAGGAGTATGCCGTGTGTGGGGGGATAGTGGGGAAGAATACTGGAGAGACTGTGACAAAGCTCATAGGATTTTGTGTTCTCAAAGAGCTTACAGTCTGGGAGCCAAGACAGCCTGCAGCAAAAAAGTGGTTTCAGAACAGTCGGGGTGGGGCGGAGGGAATACCCACAAAAGCGTTTTGATGTAGTGTCCTAGAACACCGATGGGAGGCAGAACCAGGGAAGGGAATGAGCATCATCCAGCTGCCTCAACTCTGGCTTCAGTGCTCCAGGAGCACTCCCTGCCTAGACCGAAGAGCCTACAAGGGACTGTCTCTGACCCAGCTGAGAACTGGACAGCATGAGCAGTGTATTTGCTATAGACCCCTAGCAGCTGAATGGGACCTGGTGCCTAGATGGTGCTCCTTAACTCTTTGTTGCATGAATCAAGGGACAGGCATTGGTCAGATGGAATGAGGAAGGGAAAACCTCATAGAAAAGTGGATTTGGGGCTGAGATTCGAAGTCACTGACTGGCAGGTGGCTAGAAAGAAGGTAGACTGGTTGGAGGGAGAGTAGGGGAAGGGAGAGGTGGGATTTTGTGTTGGGAGTGGCGGTGGCAGGAAGGAGAACGCCTTGGCTGGAGTGGAAGGAGCATGTTGAGGAACAAGAAGAAATGAGAATGAGAAAATTAGAGGGAGTGGGGGAGGGGATGAAGAGAGAATCTTGAATGTGGTCCCAGGTAGAGGAATTCATTCATTCATTCATTCATTCATTCATTCATTCATTCAGAAACAGTTCTCTGAGGGCCTATGATGCCTGGGAACGTGTTCAGAATAGCAGTGGGGGACCTCTGCAAGTACTCATTCAGGGAAGAGTGACCTGTGGAAATGATGTTCCAGGTCAGGTTCTGGAGAAGATGAACATGTGGCTACAGGCTGAAGCGTGAACACAGATAAAGGAGTGTGTAGGATGGATCGGAGCAGGAAAGAGGCTGGTGGCTGGACAGTCCGCTAGAAGACAGTTGCAATAATCCAAATATGAGGTAACCCATGGGTATGGACAAGACTGAGATCACTGGCAAGATGAACCGACAGACCCAGTGGCCGCAGGATCGGGACAGGGAGGCCTCGAGGAGAGAAGGGTAGCAGAGCTCTCGGCACTGGTGCGGAGAAGTTGGTGGTGTGACATTTGTCTAGACCAGGAGATGGATCCGTTGAGTGTGGGGCATGTTAAGGGTTCTGGAACAGCCAGGTGAAGTGCGCACCTAACAGGCTAGAGCAGGGCTTCTCCAACTCTTATCTGCCTTCATATCATTCATATGGGCTGCATTCAGTCACCAGTGATGCTCAAAAGGAGAGGAACACTTGTCAGACTCTCCAGTGGGGGAGTGTGTGCATGTGTGTGTGTGTGTGTGTGTGTGTGTGTGTGTGTGAAGGAGTGGGCATGGTTTGAGAACTCTCCCCTGGAGATAAGTGTGTTCTTACAAGGGGGCACTGACTCTCTACTTCCCTCTCTGGGAAGGAAGCATTGGCTTCAACTGGAGTGGAGCACAGATGAGTTGTTAGATCGGCCAATCAGTCTATACTTATTTTGCTCCTCTTGTTTTGGGAGCTGAGAAGATACCCAGGAGGATAAGACACCATCTCTGACCATACACTCCCTCTGATCGCTCATCTCATAGAGTTTATGATCTGTTTGGGGAGATCATATCTACTCACCCAGGATAATTATATTATAATAAGAGCCCGAAGTAGATATAGTTAATTCATGGTATTGAGGTTCACAGGGGGCTGACCATCTAATGAGCTTGAGTGGAGGAAGTGGCGTTAATGGAGGGCTTCAGGGGACGGAGGTGGGATCGTGACTGAGCTCTTGGAGGAGAAGCTGTCGTAAGCTCCCCAAAGATTTTGACATTCAAAGAACAAACACGTTTTAATTTAATGAACAAATTAATGCAGGGGAAGGACACAGCGAAGGTCGTGAGGTGCTGGGTCAGGGTTAGACCACAGGGTCGCTCTCTCCGCTTCTCTGGCTTCTCCGCCCCCTTTGCAGCCCCAGCACAGGAAGTCACACTTTAAAGTCTCCCCAGGCGGAAGTTGTGGGGGAGTTGGAGGGATGCTGGGCCACCCCCTCAACTATCTCTCCTCAGGCACCTCCCAGCTTCCTGCCTTTCCCCTGCTCCAGATGACAGGTGCAGGCTGGCTAGGGTCTTGGGGCGCAGAGCTTGCTCACCTCCTAATTTAGCTGCAAGATACAGCTGCTGAGGACCTGCTCCCTGGAGCCAGCTGGTGCCAGCAAACGGTACTCAGTGGTGGGGGCCTGAGGCCCTGGCTACTAGGGGTCAGAGAGGGCTGTCTGGGGCGCTGCTGGGGGCTATGAGAACCCTGGGAAACAGGGGCTGGCTGTCTTACATCTCTTCTCGCCTGCTTCCTCACTCTTGGACGTGGGCGTTCAGGGCTCTGGAATGTTTCCTGTGCTGCCAGTGGACTTGGTTGGGGGCGGCGGGCTGTGGAGACTCAGAACTGGCCTTATTTCCTAAGGGTTGTTTGGGGACCTCAGGGAGGTCCCCAACCCCGACCCCACTGGCCAGAACCAGCCAGGCTGTGGGAATGCAGTGAACCCCGGGTGGGAGGGCAGCCTTGGTTTGCTTTCTTTTGGAAGGAACTGGGGAGTGTCAGGGGGCTCCTGTGAGAACCCAGGGAAAAGGCCTGTCGGCTGGGGACTGGTTGAATGGGGAGGAGGAGCCAGGGTGGGGCCTGGTCTAAAGGAAGGATGCTGAAGGGCGGGAAGGAGCTGAGAGGCCCCTCAGGGAGGGGTGGGTAGTGACCCGATGGGAGGAAGCCAGGGGTTGAGGAGACTTCCCTTTGGGATGGAATGGGAGAGGGAGACATTTCCCGAAATCTGTGGGCCAAGTGGGACAGGGGTCCTTTGCCTGGCTCTTTTGAGGAGGAGGGGGAGGGGGAGGAAGCGTACTCCTAGTGGGGATTGGAGGCAGAGCCTGGCCCACAGGAGGAAGGGCTCACATGGGGTCTTAATGGCTGGCTGGTCCCTCAATCTTTGTGCTGACTCATGACCCTTGAGGAGCTGGGGAAGCTGCTGGTTCTCTCTCCCTTCCCCTAGATGCCCTCCCTCCCTGGCCTGAGTCACTGGGCGGAGCTGCTGGGAAAAGATTTCCCTTTCCCGGATCTGACTTAACCCCCAAAGTGCTGGAGAGGGAGGGAGACACTAGGCTTGAGAAAGCCTCTCTCCCTCCCTCGCTTGCTCCCCAGGAAGCTTATACCTCACAGGCCGGTGGGCCCTGAAAAGCCCCCCACCAAGGCTGTCCCGGGACTGGAGCCCCTACTTTTTCTCCCTGACTCTGTCTCTGCTGGTTGTCTTTGCTCCTGGGGGTGGGGGGTGGGTGGGCCCACGTGGAATTTCAAGTGCCAGTAACCTTAGGCGCTGGGAGCTCTTCTTCAGGGAAAGGAACCACACTTTCAGGATTGGGAAGGTCTTCCCATAACCACCCCAAACTCTTCCTGTTGCCCTGGATGCCCCAGTCTTGTTCAGGGGAGATAGTTCCGGAGTGGGCCAAGGAGGGTGCTGCCCTCTGAGTAGGGGAGCCCAGCCCTGCGGGGGGTGGGGGTGGGGGGGGTGTTGCTGCTGTGTTTCTCAGGGTGGCTTCTGTTTGAGGCTGAGGCTCCAGCTTCCAGGCTGCGGCGTCCCCCAGAGGGTGCCTCAGAGCATGACCTGCCCACCTGCCTGCCTACTGGTCTGTGGGCTGTGATGCCCTCCTGTCCCAGACTGGGGTTTCTGTGATCTGTTGCTCCCCAGTGTTTAACACACTTTGAGGACATCCTCTTATCTTTACATAAAGTGGCGCTTATAGCAGAGGGAAAACCAAATCGAGACCCAGGGAAAGCCGGAACGAGGCTGACAGGAGATCAGGGGGCAAAGTCTGGGTTGGAGCTCCACACACTCCTGGCTTTGCTGTCCCCGGCTCTGCAGCCAGAACTGAGCAGATGATTCAGTTGCCCTGGGCTTGCCCCGAGGCTGTAAAACATGCCTCCCAGCATGCCCTGGTGTGCAGACGGCTGCAGGACTCCCTGAGCCGCCCTCAGCTCTAGACTTGATGGTCCTTTGAACCGGACACCAGCCTCTGGCCAGCTCTAGTTGCGTGTAACCTACATGCGTTTCTCCACATTTAGGGGCATGCCTGCCCCTAAACTTCGTCAGTCACCAACCTCTTTCCTGACCCACAACTTTCCCTTTTACTCCCCTCCCCATTTGCCCCGGCCAGCCTGGGGCCTTTGTGCAGATTTGGTGGTAGAAGGGGATGTGGCCTGGAGTCTGAGGACAAAATCGTAAGTGAGGTTCTGATAGAGATTTATAAAGAAATTCTTCCTTTTGCTTCTGCCCACTCCCCAGGAATGGTGCCCACAGAAACATCACTTACTTCCACACCAATCCGATTTTATAAAAAACCTTTTTGCTGGTATAACACAATCCAGGAAAGTGCACAGATCCTAACTGTTCACCTCTGTGAATGTGTACAAAGTGAATACACTACGAACATAGCACCCGGATGGAGAAACACCACCCCAATCCTTAGGGCTCCTTGTTGGAAGGAAAGGCCATAATTGAGGTAACCTGCCAGTTCTCAATCAAAAAAACATGCTTGACTTGGAGGGACAAAAATTAGTCCATAGAACAACTAGGGAAGAATTAAGCACTGGATCACATGGGGCCAGCCGTCTAAGCTTAGAGAAAGAACATTGAGTGTGAGCGGGAGTGGCCTGGCCTGGGGAGAATGTTCCACTGAGAAAGGACTTGAGCTGGGAAGGCTTTGGACTTGCTACCTCTAAGGCTCCCATCAACCCTTTCCTGATGGGATCTCCTCTGTCTGATTCTTCCCCAGGTGCTCCTGGCTCTGTTGGTGGAAATATATCCCTTAAGGGTTACGGCACTGGTCCCTCACCTCAGGGACCGGGAGAAGAGAGCTATTCTGTGTCCCCAAGGAAAATATATTCACCCTCAAGATAATTCCATTTGCTGTACAAAGTGCCACAAAGGTAGGAGAATGCGGCAACAGTGAACCTGCTCAGTTATGCGGTCCTGCTTCTTCCTTTGCCTTTTCCAGAGGTTCTAGAACCTAGGGGTCTCTCACCTCCAGTCTCCTAACTTTGCTGCCTCTCCTGGGCTGGGATTTTCTCCCTTCTTTCCTCTGTTAGAGACTTGGGGAGGAGGGTGGCCCTGGCTGTTCTCTCTGGCGTGGGGCTCTTTCCTTGAGCTCTAACCCTGCCACCCCTTCACAGGGACCTACCTGTACAATGACTGTCCCGGCCCAGGGCTGGACACGGACTGCAGGGAATGTGAAAATGGCACCTTCACAGCTTCTGAGAACCACCTCAGACAGTGCCTCAGCTGCTCCAAATGCCGAAAAGGTGAATCTCAGGAGGCGGCAAGGGCTCTAAACAGAGCGCCAGTTGGCTCGGTTAGAGCAGTGTGCGCACCTGTCCCCGCGAGGGCGGACAGACCTCTGCTGGTGGGTGTGGGCGGGAATGCGCGTGCACGGGTGAGTGCATGGGTGGGGACGTGTGTGCAGAGAAAGACACACACGCTGCAGTGGGGCAGGGGCTCACACCCCCTCTCCTCCCCTGTCCAGAAATGAACCAAGTGGAGATTTCTCCTTGCACCGTGTACCGGGACACTGTGTGCGGCTGCCGGGAGAACCAGTACGGGCATTACTGGAGTGAAACCCTTTTCCAGTGCGTGAACTGCAGCCTCTGCCCCAATGGCACGGTGCAGATCTCCTGTGAGCATGGCTCTCCCGACCCCAGCCCCCTCCCTGCCCCAGGGTGGCCCCGGCTCAGGAGGAAGCTCTCTGCCTCTGTGCCCCCGCTCCCTGATGCAACACTTCCCCTCCTTCCCACTCCCGAAGTCTGTGGGACCACCTGCACTCTCCTGCCCCTCCTGGCTTTCCCCGTGATCCTTGGGGTGCAGGGCAGTTCTCCCCTAGCTGTGCTGCATCTCTCCCCACAGGCAAGGAGAGACAGAACACCGTGTGCACCTGCCACGCGGGCTTCTTTCTAAGAGAGAATGAATGCGTCTCTTGTGTTCAGTGAGTATCTCTGCCATCTGCTGGGCACCGGATCGGGTGGGGAGGGGGCTTGGGGTGGGGTGCGGTGGCTGCCGGTGAGAGCCACCAGCAGGGCAAGGGAGACACCCCAGGATGCTCTGGCTCTTACTGGCTGTTTGAGTGGTTGACATTTAGTGTCAAAACACCAGACAGTTCTTCCTCCCACACCCCCCTCCCAACCACGGCGGGGGCTTGCTCCTAAAATCTGAAGAAGTCTCCGGGAATAGAGCTCATACTTCATGGACTTGCAGTTCTTTTAATTCAGACATTTGGATTGTGGGGTGACAGGGCCTACTACAGTTCATCGATTCTAGGACGCGCATTTTCACATCTCTGAAATCAGACTGCATCTAACGATGATGTATCATGATTCACCTGGCAGCTCCGTGTGTGTGTGTGTATGTGTGTGTGTGTATGTAGTATGTAAATAATGATGCTTCTTACTTTCGATGGCATCTTTGCTGCAGTATGGTATTTCTTCCCCAGTCTCTGTTCAGGCCTCCTCTTTTGGCTCCACGGAGCCTGGTCTTGCACACTCGCTTGCAAAGAAGGAACTCTGAGGGCTCTAAAGTTCAACTGACCTGGATTTAAATCTCAGCCGAGCCACTTGGGCTGTGTGACCTTGGGCAAGTTACTTAACATCTCGGAGCCTTAGTTTTCTCACCTTTAAAGTAAGGCTAATGACATCCACTTGGCAAGTTGTATGGCTACAAAGTGTCTGACACTGAACTATTTTTCTTTTTCTACTAAGTCCGCTCTGTTGCTTCAAAGAGTTTTCACACTCATTCCATGAGGTTCTCACCATGAGCTTGTGAGGTGGGCAGAAGTGCCTCTTCCTGCTTTCAGATTCCTGCTGAGCATTCACCTTCCCCTGAGTTCCTTCTAGCCCCCCATGGGGTTCTCATCACTCCACGCTGCCAGTGACAACTCCCGATGGGGGAAGATGCGCTTGTTCTAGAGTGCTCTCTGGCTGCCCCCAACAATATGTATTTTAAATTTTTTCACATGCATGTTTAACCCCTCTCTCAAAGTCAGTGATTGTCACTAGCAGTGTTATCTCAAGAAAAAGCTCTCCAGCCTCTCTTTACCATGGGATTCTCATCAGTAAAACGATTCAGTGACCATTACCATTTACTGAACACTTACTATATGTCAGGCAGACTGATCTCACTTAACTCCTCAATTCTGGCAGGTGGGTAAGAACCTTATTTTGTGGATGGGCCAGCTGAGGCTTACAGGTTAAATGACTTGCTTGGATTTCACGCTGCTAGCCAATGAATGGGCTGGAATTCATGCCCTGCCTCTCACCGCTTTTATTTATTTATTTATTTTTATTTTATTATTTTTTAAAGATTTTATTTATTTATTTGAGAGAGAGAATGAGCGAGAGAGAGCGAGCACATGAGAGGGGGGAGGGTCAGAGGGAGAAGCAGACTCCCTGCCGAGCAGGGAGCCCGATGCGGGACTCGATCCTGGGACTCCAGGATCATGACCTGAGCCGAAGGCAGTCGCCCAACCAGCTGAGCCACCCAGGCGCCCCCTCTCACCGCTTTTAATTTTTTTCTACACAGCCTCCTCAAGACCAGTTCTAAAATTAAATGATTTTGTGATTAACTGGGGTTTCATTCCTCTGCATCAGGAAAGTTTTAATTTCCCAGGAGAGGTTTAATTTCCATTATATCAAGAGAGAGCTAAAATATTCGTAAAGCAAAGAATTTGCAATGAGGTGGAGTTTTTTTTTTCTTTGTCTCCCCCCCCCACCCCCCATCTTCTTCTTATGGGAGGGCCCCTATTCACCTGTGCTATCTCTTCTTTTAGCTGTAAGAAAAACACGGAGTGCACGAAGTGGTGTCTACCCCCCGTGGAAACGGTTAAGGTCCCTCAGGACTCAGGTGAGGACAAATCACCCAGTTCCCATGCTCACCTGCCCTGTCCTAATCCTTGCCCTTCCACCTACCCAGCCAGCCCTGCTGCCTCCTGCTATCCCCTCCTCTGACCACAGTCTGCCTTGTCTCCAGGTACCGCAGTGCTGTTGCCCCTGGTGATCTTCTTTGGCATTTGCGTTTTATCCTTCATCGGTGTAATGTGCCGCTACCAATGGCAGAAGCCCAGGTTCTTCTCCACTGGTGAGTGGGGCCTTTGGGAGGGGAAAACATGCTGGCGGGGATGTGGGAGGAGGGTGAGTGGGCAAGATGGACCAGCACTGAGGGAAATGAGGAGTGTCCCCTTCCTTTGCTGCCGAGAACCCCGTCGGCAGGAGGCGGCCCTGATGGCTTGTGAGAGGTCACACTGCATCAGTAGTTCTCTTGTCCCCGGGGCCACTTTGGCCCCGAAGCATGTCACCACAAGTCCCCACGGCCAGCCCCAGTATGGGTGCCAGGGCTGAGAGAGGAAGTGAAATTTGTGACGCTTTGTTTCTTTTTTCTCAGTTTGTGGGAAATCGACACCTACAAAGGAGGTAAGATGAAACTAGGAACCTACCCCCAATCTTCCCTGATGGTCCATTATAATCTTGTGATACCCAAATGACCCTCGGCCACCCCTAACTCCCTCTAGTCCCACCCCCTTCCAGAGTAAAAGAGGGTTGGGGCTGTTTTTCCTCTCCTCTGCTAATGCTGTGCCTTCTCTCTTTTAGAGGGAGCCTGAGACCCTGGCCTCGGTTGCAGGTTTCAGTCCCAACCCGAGCTTCAGTCCCACCACGGGCTTCAGTCCCATCCCCAACCCCACCTTCAGCCCCAGGTCCGTCTTCACCCCTAGTGACTGGTCTAAGTTCAGGGCTGCATCAGTCTCTGGAGAGATGGCCTCACCCTACCAGGAGGCCGGCCCCATCCTCACCGCGGCTCCAGCGTCCACCCCCATCCCCACCCCTGCTCAGAAGTGGGAGGACAGCACCCACACTCAGCGCCCAGAAGGTGAGTTCCTAGACGGAGCAGGTGGGGGGGGCTCCTAAAGGGCGCGTGCGCGGACGGGGAGGGGGCGGGGCACGGGGCGCAGGGGGGCGGGCCGGGGCGCCGCCGCCGCCGCTGGAAGCTCACCGCCGGCTTCCCCGCAGCCGACCCAGCGGACCCGGTGACGCTGTATGCCGTGGTGGACGGCGTGCCCCCGTCGCGCTGGAAGGAGTTCGTGCGGCGGCTGGGGCTGAGCGAGCACGAGATCGAGCGGCTGGAGCTGCAGAACGGGCGCTGCCTCCGGGAGGCGCACTACAGCATGCTGGCGGCCTGGCGGCGGCGCACGCCGCGGCGCGAAGCCACGCTGGAGCTGCTGGGCCGCGTGCTCTGCGAAATGGACCTGCTCGGCTGCCTGGAGGACATCGAGGAGGCGCTGTGTGCCCCCGCCTCCGTCTCGCCGGCGCCCCGCCTCCTGCGATGAGGCCACGCCCCGCCCCGGCAGGGGCCTGCCCTGAGGACCGATGCCTTCTGGCGGGGCTGCCTGGAAAGACCGTGCAAAATGCCCTTCGGACCCTTTTTTCTGGACAGGGGCCTTGGAAGGGCAGGCATGGCTGTCAGCCACCTACTTGGTGCTACTCTCTCAGTGTACATAGATTTTCTCAGCTGCCGGAGCACTGCCAGAGGCTCAGCCTTGTGTGTGTGACAGGCGTCTGTGTGTGTGTGTGTGTGTGTGTGTGTGTGTGTGATCCTGAGAGTGGCTGAGTGTGCCAGGAGCCCAAGCTTGTGGCTGCAGAGACACCGCCCATTTTGGGTTTGGAGAACCAAACAAGGCAGCTTAGGGGCCTCTGGTTGGTCCCTGGGCCTTTTTCACAGTAGATAAGCAATTTTTGTATCAATTATGTTACACTAATAGAAACTGGGCACTCCTCTGCCCCCTGTTTGGACAAGCACAGAGTGAGCTGACCTGTCCGAAGGCAGGGGTGAGCACAGAACAATGGGGCCGCCAGCTGGAGCTGTGGACTTTTGTAAATACACTAAAACTCTGGAATTAAAGCTCTGCTCCTGGAGGGGGTGGTCCTTCTGAGTGGTGGGTGTGGGAGGCCGGGGCAGAGACCCGCTCCTGATGGGGTGGGATGGGAAAGGCCCTGAGCTTGGGCCAGACGTCCCACCACCATGATGCCAGTTGACAAAGGAGTAGCCTGTGAGCACGCCCCTCCCCATCAGGTTCTCTTTCTTCCCACCCTCATCTAGCCAGGCAGTCATTTTTATGCACGACTTTATGTGGGGCTCTGGTATGTCTATGGTACAAAAATGTATAGTACTTGATCCCAAAGCCCTCTGAGCAGGAGAGGCGGAGTGGCTTCTTAGTGGAAAGTGTGGTCTTTGAGGTAGAGTCCAGGGATGGGGTGGTGACCAGCACTCTCGGGGAGAGATTTCCTCTAGGAGAAATGCCAAAGGTCCTGAGTGTCCCTCACACTTCTCTGAAAAGAAAGGAGGTGGGTGTTAGGTCAAGTCAGATGTGGGGTGGAGAGCGAGGCTAAGTGCCCTTCCTTGCCACTGCCCCTGCTCTGGTAGTGCCCTCCTTCTATACTGACTCCACCCCACCAACATCCTACTCTGGCACCCCCTCCCACTCCATATGGGCCTTCTTTGCTCCCTCCCAGGCCACCTTCCCTTCAGCACTTACGATGTGGACAGGGGGGTGTCCAGCTGTATGGTGTAGGGCCCACGCATCCTCTGCAGTTGGCCCCGGGTCAGCTTCCGAGGCTTGCCGTTCCCAGGCTCAGGGATGCCCTCGATCCTTTGGCTGGCTAGTTCTTCCCGGATCTCTCTGAGCATATCCTCAGCCCGGAGGGGGTGGGGGGAGAGGGTGCAGCCAGGTCCCAGGAAGAGGGACCCCTCTTCCTCATCCCCTGAGGACTCCCAGGGGCTTTCCCCAGCAGAATCTGTGTGGGTTGGGGATGGGGGGAACTGTCCCCGAAGTCGGGCCCGATGCAAGGTTTCCACTACCACATTCCCTCCCACTGAGGTTCCATCTTCTTCCTCAGACCAGGTTGGTTGATCTCCCCTGGGAAGGCTGCTTCCTCTTTGGATAACTTCCCTTGGCAGTTCAGGGGTGCTTCGGCGTTGGGGAGCTTGGGGGTTAGGAGGCTGAGGGCGCAGAGGAACATCTCGGAGGTCCAGGGTGGAGAAGGTGAGGCGAGGGTCACGCCGAAGGGCCTGTGGGCGCAGATGGCTCACATAGTGGGGCCCCTTGGGGGAGCCTGGGATCAGGGTGTTGTAGCCAGAGTCTGAGGTATCATCTGGTACCAACGGAGAGTCTTCATCTGTGTCTTCTGTCACCACCAGGTGTGGGATGATGGTCGAGAACTCAGGAGTCCTACAAGTAATAGTAATAGTAAATGGTCAGTCCCGTGCTGAAGGGTCAAGTTCGAGTCCAGGAAGTCTCATCCCATCCAGAAATGGCCCCTCCTCCAAACTTACTTCGGTATCGCCTTTACACCATATGATTATTTTCTCATCTTGCTGGCTAGACTGTAGTAAGCTCCTCTAAGGCATTTTAGCCACAGCACTTGGGCCAGGACCTTGTATCAAGCAGGTGCTCAGGTATTTGCTGAAGGGTTCCTGAGCTCCCCTGAGGTTATCCCCCAGTGATGGATCTGTTTTCTCCTTAACCATGCTGCTGAACAGCTGTGTTACTGTGAATGAACCTTTTGCCCTCTCCGGGGATTTGGACTCAATGGATCCCTGCAGCTGGAACATTCTGCAAATCCATACTGGTTTTCCCTCTCCATCCATCCCTGGGCCTGGGGAGCCTGCTCCTCTCAGGGAGCTTTCGTTGCTTGCGTCTGTTTCCTTCATCCGGGCAACCGGAGGCTGGCTAACCCCCTAGGCTGTCCCATGTGGCCGTTTGCAGGGCTGGTGCCAAACCTGTTCTACTCCAACCTCGATCTATTCCCAATGCCCCCCAAAACTGTGTTGACATTTCTCTGCCTTGTGGGTTCCTCTTCTCTCTCTCCCTTCCCGCAGCTCCCCTACTTTGAGAGACTTGTGGTCCCTGTGGGTCTTACCTCCTTTCTGCGCTGCTCTGAGAGCCCTCTGGGGAAGGCGAGGAGGGCCTGGTGCCTGGGGACTCCTGGTCCTGGTCCCGATAGAGAGCCAGGAGCTCCCTCTTCTGTTGGACATACTCCTCTGCCTTCAGCTTTTGCAGGGTGACCTGGGATGGGCATACTTTCATTAAGAGCTCTCACTTATTGAGACTTACTGTATGCCAGACTGGTGCTAAGTGCTCTACAGACATTATTTCATTTAATCCTCACAGATTCTGAATATATTATGAAGTCTATGAGGCAGATATTATTTGTTATTCCTACTTTGCTACAGAAAGACTCAGGCTACGTAACTGCCAAGGTCATGAAGCAAAGGACGATGGGATGGAGCCAGGATCTGAACTCTCGAGCTGGCCCTGGGGGTGGGTGGGGTGAACAGAAGGCGCCTTTTCCTGCTTGCACAGGTCTTCCTGCTTCTCAAGCCCCCTTTGCAAGCCCTCTATCCAGTCTGTCCCCTCCTTCAGGAAGCCCTCCCTGATAGATGGTGATGGCAATGTAAATGTTCTGAAGGGTGCTGGGCCTCAAGTTGCTCCTGCCACCAGGGTGGACAGGGTCAGGCTTTCTCCTCTGCTGTCCTTCAGAGGTGAAAGCAAGACCATTGCAAGAGGAATAGAGAGAGGGTACACTATATTTTCTGTCTTCTTCCCTCAACATTTTCACAGAGGTACCCTGATAATCAAGTAGTGACATCTGAGAAGTGGCTTATAGGGCACCTCCACATGCATGTGGTCATATGATACATACCATCACCCTGCAGGGTGGACAGCATGGATATTAGCCCATTTTACAGATGAGGAAACAAGACCTAGAGAGACAAAGGCTTTTGCTCAAGGTCCCATGGGAAGAGAAGCAGAACTGGGACTGGGCCTTCTCTTTGAGTCCTGGTTCAGCAACTGCCCTGTTTTTGAAGGGCAGCCTTAAAGGGTAAAGAGTTGCTAAAGGACAACATTTGCTTGGCGAGGGGGAGGGAAGGCAGCAGAACCTGCAGAGAGGTTGAAGGCAGAGGCTGGGCAAAAGGGAGGTGCTGGTGGCAGCTGTGGGCAGCTCTGATATCAGTACTCGCTAGTATGGCCATATCATTGTTAAAATATTGGAGTGCTTGCATAACTGGTAAGCAAAGGGCTGCTATCTGAGCCTCCTGCCTCCCTTCCCTAGGGCTACCCCATCCCTCAAGATCCAGCAGCTAGAGGGATAACATGGCACAGCAGGGGACCTCTAGGACACCCCCCACCCCCAAGATGCTCCTCTCTGATTGGATGATGACCATGCCGTACTGATGGTTAAATATTTTGACTATCTCCCCAGCTTGAGGTATATGAACCAGCAACTCCTGGACACTTGGACCTTCCCAAAGCCTCTCCAGAAACACAGCCAGTAGCTGGGTCAGGATAAGAGACATGTTGGAAAAATGAATGAACAGGGATAGGAAAATGGCATCAGGTTTATACTGCAAGTTTCCTTTCTCTGGGTCTCCAGTCCCTCAGTCTCATGAGGGACAAAGCAGTGCAAAGATTCTTAGCAGTCGCATAAGACTAGTTAGTTGGCCAGAGCAAGGGATGATGGTGCCTGGGGGTAGGAAACTGGCACACCAGGGCCAGGTCCTATGACCTCCTCCCTCCTCTCCAATGTGGGACAGAACAAGAAATAAGGACGGTGGGCGGAGTCATTCTTGGGGCCAGGGTGGAGCTGGAGCAGCCTGCTTGTCGGGCTGAGGTGCCATGCCCTTGGCCCCACATGACCCAAGTTCAATTGAGTGTTTGGGAAGTCCAGGATAGGAAAGGTGTGTGGAAGGAAAGAACTGGAAGGAAGGGGTTGGGGTAGTACAAGTATGTCCACTAAACGTGCCCCTGGCCCAACCGTAGGAAAAGGCAGGGAGGGAGGGGACTCCAGGCACCAGGGAATGGGGCTATTTGAGGTCCTCCCAGACACCCCAAAGCCTCTCCAGCAACACTGGGAGGATCTTCTCAGCTTGGGTAAGAGGAGAGACAAGTTGGGAAGGGAAGAGGAAATTGGTGCCTGAGCCAAAATGTGACCCCTCCACAAAGCCAAGAAGAGGAAGGGAGGGCTCCCCCAGCAGGATTCTTGTCCTTTGCTCTGGTGGAGAACACAGCCTTGACAGGAAACGCCTCTTCTTCCCGCTGCTGCCTCTGGGGTTGCTCCTCGATTCATCTGCTCCTCCCAAAGTTCCCCAAGTGGACTAACACGGATCTCTCAAGGTGCCCACGGACTCTGAACAGCAGCTGTGAGGCCTTTCCCCAGTCAGCTATACATAGCCCTGCCCTGGCGCCACTGACCACCACTGTCTTTTAATGGTGACAATAACAAACATTTATGGAGCGCCCATTAAGTCCTGGGCCTTGTGCCAAGCAGCAACAATAATTGTCCCATCTCTCCTGCATGGTAGTGCCCACTATCACTGCAATTCCCCAGAAGGTGACTGGGGTTGGAGAGATGACATAACTCCTGTAAGAACACAGATAACAGGTGAGAGCTGGGCTCTGGCTATTCCCTCAGCTGCCTGCTTCAGTCTTCCCTCCGGTCATTTTTGGACTTCTGACTCTGACAGCTTTTTTTGTTCCCATCACTGGTTCCTTTTTCCTCTTCCCAGTCCCTAAGCATGGGCATTTCCCAGGTTCAGTCTGTCTTCCTTGGAGAAGCTCATTTTTTTCCCCTGAAAGTTTAAGCTACCCAGGCTAGACCTATGGGGAATAAATCTACACCTACATTTCTGTGAGGGGGAGAAAGCAACAGTCTCATCCCCGGGTGGTTGCTCTATCAAGGGGACCAACAGATATTCTATTGCTCCCATCAGTTTACAAAGACTGGTGGCAACAGAGAGCAGTTTTCTTTAAGAATTCGGTGTGAGACAATAGCAGGACAAACTAATTTCAGTTTCTTTGTTCTTTGTTTTGCTAAGCGAGGCCAGGGAGCTGGTGCACTGCTTGGTTATGTATCAG